AAGTCACTTTGAAGTTTTGAAGTTGATTATAAAGTGTAAAATAGCGATAGTGAAGGACTTTCGACGAGTGAAACTTATGACGGTGAGAATGCCGGTGATGCGTCTGTATGGAGTCCTGCGATATCCGAACAAACTATCTGGGACTTTATACTCAATTATGGACCAAAATTGCCCTGAAATCTGGATGTTGCTCAGTCTAGTCCTTTGAAATATTTAAGTTTTTTTTTTTTTCAAGATGCGATGTACGACAGACCTGCTACAAAAACAAGCAGCCTCATTTTCAGTGAGCTGTTATAAACCTGTAACTGAGTTGAATCACTTTTAAACATCCATAAATGAAGAGTTCAGAGTCTAACGTTTCCAGAGATACCAAATATGTCCGTGTTTCAATAAAGTTCGTGAGTGTAAAAAGCATTTATAATCGTGGAAGTCCGTTTTCTTTTACGCAATGACGCTCTATGTATGTAAAATATGTATGGGTTGTTCCTCAGAAGCGTCCGAGGGGGAAAGAGTTAAAGGAAAACCTCAAGAACGTTACGGAAATCACACAGTTTTTTAAAAAGACGGGCCTTTCTTCCGATGAGAAGGAGACCAGAGTGATGTGATAAACCCTCAAACGTCCACAGTTACAGTGCATTATCTCGGAAAAAAAACAATCATGCGTCTTGACATTTCTCTCATTTTGTTCATGCACAAAACAGCATCTCCACCAATGATACTCCTCTAAAAGTATCATTGTATAATAACAGCATTGGAATCTGAACAAAACACTTCGTATAAGACTTGAAGATCCGTATAACACTCCACACCGCAATAGTTCAAGTGAGAAAAGCAGGGCCGTTTGTAGCTTTAGGGGGGACCAATGCACAGGGATGTAAAGGGAGGGGCCCCTATTTGATTTCTACTCAAACTTTTAACTTCTATCTATCTTCAAACCTCTGCAAATCTCTCAAAAACTAAAAATATGAGTAATAAGTAAATTAAAATATACAAATGATAAATCTATGCCTTTCGTACATAATTTGAGCTGGATATTTTATTTGGCATTAATAAAAACATTTTAAGCTGCCTAAATTTGCGGACGTGGTCTAATCTTGCGCACATTTTAGACAACTTCTTTCCGCTTTTCTGTGTTTAGAGTTTCAGAAAGCGAATGTCCTTGTCTTGCGGGATTTGCGGGCGGGAAGTAGCATTTAAAAATGATTAATCTACGCCTATCATACTTCATTTGAGCTGGATATTTTATTTGATATGAATAAAAACATTTGAAGCAGCATAAACTTGCGGACGTGGTCTAATCTCGCGCACATTTTAGACAATTCCAATTCCAGTTTGGCTTCTCAGTGTTAAATAGAGCTCAAGAAAGCGAAAACGGGACGAAATATCACAAACACAGGCGGGAGCGGGACTGAAAATTACAATTCTTTGCGAGTTGGATGATAAACTGCAGTCCTGCAAACTAAATATGAGTGTAAATTAAAATATACAAATGATTAATCTATGCCTATCGTACTTAATTTGTGCTGGATATTTTATTTGGCATTAATAAAAAAATATTAAGCAGCTTAAACGTTTGGACGTGGTCTAATCTCGCGCACATTTTAGACAATTTCTTTCCGCTTTTCTGTATTTTGATAGAGTTTAAAAAAGCGAAATCAGGACAAAATATCGCAGATGTGGGGAGGAGTGGGACTGAAAATTACAATTCTTTGCGACCGGGATGATAAACTGCAGTCCCGCGAACTAAATATGAGTGTAAAGTAACATTTAAAAGTGATTAATCTACGCCTATCGTACTTAATTTGAGCTGGATATTTTATTTGGCATTAATAAAAAACATTTTAAGCAGCCTAAACGTTCGGACGTGGTCTAATTTCGTGCACATTTTAGACAATTTCATTCCAATTCCGCTTCTCAGTGTTTAACAGAGCTCAAGAAAGTGAAAACGGGACAAAATATCGCAGATGTGGGCGGTAACGGGAATGAAAATTACAATTCTTTACGGACGTGTGTGGAAGCGGGACTGAAAATTCTATCCGGCGCAGATCTCTAGCTCCAAAGTCCTCACGTAGACGAACAAAACAAACAAAATTTAAGGGTAAAACCTGTAAAAACTTGACTAATAACTCTCACTGTTCAGTATTTTAACTTTTTATTTAAGGTGCGTTGTGTAACTTTTCTGCTTTTTTTCCATGGAAATGTTATTTATTTATTTATACTTGTTTTGTCTGGAAGGTTTTACAATCTTTCTATCTTCATGGAGACCAAACCAGACCAACTTAGAGGTCAGAATGTTTGTTTTTCTAGGTATTTTTGAGCTATAAAACCACTTTTAGTTGAATAAATGTAAAGTAGAGCTGTTTAATGTCATATTGTGGAACTTTCCAGGCACAGCAATTATAAATCTATAGAAAAAAAGCAGGTGACGGACCCTCAAGCGGAAAGTTACACTGCAAATTTCTCTGATCTGGCCAAGATTTTAAAACTTATATGAGGTTATTCATCTTGTTTTCAGATTTATTACCTACTTATTCGTTCCGCGGCAGCTTAATTCTAGTCTAGAGGTAGTTTATTTTAAGATCAATTAATCAAATAAAATTATCTGTCCATGCTGCAAGATAATTTCACTACTTTTAAGTCATTTTCTGATAGATATCCTAAGCTTTTTTTGCACTTTAAGCTCTGCAGGTTGTGATTTGGGGCTGTACAATAATACATTTAATCAAAAACTCTAACTTTTTAAAACTTTTGGTTAAATATATACAAAATTAATTCTGAAGGTAAGTTTTGGGAGGCTCGTTTGGTAAATATAAGGAGTTCTGTGACTGTGACGGCTTAAAATCGCTAGAAACGGCTCTGCGAACTGGGCTTGAACTGATGGGCACAAAGGAGAAACGGCAGGTGAAGGAGGAGGAGGAGGACAGGTGAAGGAGGAGCAGACAGGTAGCAGACAGGTGCAGGTGCAGGAGCAGCTGGGAAGTTACATGGAGGTCATGTCGTTGAGGGCGTGGTCCAGCTCCTCACTGATGGCTTTGTACTTAAGTTTCTGAGAATACAACTCATCTACGGAGAGGAGGAAGTGTGGAGAGAGGAAGAAGTGACCAGGAGGAAGAAACAAAACAAAACAGAACAGAACAAAAACAGGAAAATGCAAAAACAAAGTGAAGAAGAAATGAGAATGGCAAACCTAACCTCACCTGTCTTTCCTACTTTTTTTTTTATTAACCAAATAAAGAAAGATCTGTAAAAGAATCATGATTCTGATTTCCACTTTTGTTGCGTTCAATTGATATTTTGCAGTGACGTCACGCTCAGGGGGGGTTCTACATGGATCTATATGGCATAGTGTCACCATGGCAGTTACCATGGTGACACAATACAAACATTAGCAAGTATTTATAGTATTTATAAGTGTGATATCCTGTATTGATATTACAATATTTCTGTTTTTACTTATACATTTATATAATCATGTCTTATTTGACACCAGTCTCTTTTCCTTTTCGTATTGATGTGTATTTAGAAGTTTTATTACCATTATATAATATTATGTATTATATATAATTATATTATTATGAATTATATTATATTATATTACATATTATATTTTTTACTCTTTGATATTGTGATATAATGTGATGTGTGAGTAAGAAATTTCCCTTGTGAATCAATAAAGTCTGTCTAAGTTTAAGTTATGGCAGGCATGTCCAAAGAGCCAGATATCTAAACACAGACGAAGCAGAGGGCCGATCAAGGGCCGTAGACTGGAGCTCAACACAGTGAATAACTGAAATAAGTACATGTTTAACACTTTAGAATGAGCCATCAGTCTTTATTCATGCTAAGACCCTTAAAACTGCACACTAAATATTAAATATTAGGTAGATTTTCAAAAAAGTTAATTTTTTCATTGATTCAAGGTCATTTCCAATTCACCTGGAAGTCTGAGGGCCAAAAAAAAACAGTTTGAGGACTCAGTTAGGGTGATCAGATTTTCAGAATAAAAAACTGGGACATCCCTGGTTTGGTAATAAGAAAACTGTAAAAGAGTGAGTAATTAAGGAAAATTGTTCTGCACTTGGCACTAATGTGAGTCAGTTTAATTACATTTTCTTTGTGTTTTGGTCGTTTTTAAGCAGCTTTACTGTATTTTACCTAAACAAATGACAATTTATGTCTCTTTTTACTAAAAATAGTGACACTTGGGACATTTCTTGTATGAAACTGGGACAAATCACTGGTTTTAGATAAATCCCTTGGGACTGGGGACACAGGGCTCAAAACTGGGACTGTCCCCTGTCACTCTGGTCGAAGTCTAAGTCTAAAAGGGTTTAAGATTGTCTGAAAACTCAAGAAAAACTGTTAATTAATGGTATCTAGCTTGTGATTGTTATTTTATGTGTGAGAAGCTTGTTAAACCGCACAAATCCGCTCATCTATTACGATTGTGTTAAAATAAACCTTGATTAAAATTGAATTCGAGTAACTAACTTTGAGCTTGTAGTAGTGCTTACAGCAAACTTCACACCCCCAAGAAATGTTGGCGACATCTGCAAAATGTCAATTCATGGCGTCCAGCTTCCTGTTATGTGTTATTATCAGTGTTTTTGTTTTGAATAGTTAGTTGCCATGGTAACGGCCCTAACTTCTCCTCGTCGTGAAAGCTCATTCTTGGCTTCTGTTGTTGTGAACTGGCCTTACATGACTTATTTCATGGTTTAAGTTGAGATAAGTTTCATTTTTTTTGTTTTTAAAGTGACTTCTGCTGACATTTGAAGCACTGTAACTAAATCTAACTAAACTCAATCGCGATCGCATGAACCATTCTGAAACCCATATGAAGTGCAGTGTGTACAAAGGTTAAACTGAATAGAACTGTGTGGACATACAACATTTCATAATGCAGGCCCGATCGGAAACACGGCCCACAGTGAGTCACAACAGGAGAAAGTACTTACAGTCTGTGAGTTTGAGACCGAATAAATGAGGGAAAATATTACCTTCAAGATCGTCAATGGTCTTCTCAAGCTTGGCTACTGATCTCTCAGCGAACTCAGCGCGAGTCTCAGCCTGTGGACCACAAAAGGAAGTGTCAAAAGTGTGTAATAGTTCACTGGCAGCATTCCCCGGGTAAAGTCTGCATCATTTTGTCAAGACTTCTCCATTTTCTTCGATTTCAGTAAAAGTAGAGACTTGCACTTTTACTTTTGTGTGTGGGTTTTAGGCGAATGATTTCCTTCCTGATTTAAAGGACTTAAGGAGGTGTTGCTGCGTTCATGTGTTCCTTGGAAAATTCAGAACATGTCTGAGTTGAAAAATGTCGGAAAACTTGGTTGAAAAAAATCCCACCCTACTGTACCGAGGGGAATCGACAGTGGGGGCAAAGGAAAAGAAAAGAACAAAATTTAAGGGAAAAACTTGTTAAGTTATTAAAAAAAACTTGAGTAATAACTATAGGTGTGCAAAAATGTCAGAATATCAAAATATCGTATCATTTAATGTGATGATGCATTATCAATATTGTGGGCTGCTGTATCGATACATCACCAAGAGTGTTTTGTGGTATATTTTACTACATTATTTTGTTACGCTTCAAGGTTAGGTTAGGCTATGTTGCTTTATTCGTACCCGTGGGTAAATTTGCTTTGCAAATTTGAGAGGCAGGTTCTGCATTTCACATTTCATTCATCCACAAAACACGTATAAAAACACAGTTACAAAATAAGGTGTTACAGTGTTCCAGTGCAGAATGGTTTGTTCTATAAACAAATAGTTAAATTCATCCATCACGCTTGGCTAAAATCACAATAAATATTAAATATGTTAAAACGATTCAATACTATATATTTCAAATCAATTCGATACTGTTCAATAAAAAATAAAGGCTTAATCCTGGCTGTGATACTATAAGTCTTTGTTAAACCATTTTTTGTGCATATGAATGAAGTTCATATACCGTATTTTCTGCACTATTAGTCGCTCTGGATTATAAGACGCACTGTCATTAAATGGTCTATTTTCAAACTTTTTTCACAAATAAACCGCACCGGACATTAAAGGAAACACAACAGTGTGATGGGTGAGTGGTTTTGTTTGTTTGTGGCGTTCACGGTGACTCTGGGCTTTGTTCAGTTGTGCGTAGGGAGGGTGCTGTCTGGGACCAACGGATTGTCGGCGTGTTCGCAGTGACTCAGTTGTTCAGTTGTGTCTAGAAGTGGCACATTGCACTCGCATTTTTGGTTCGTTCCTCGGCGTGGGGTGATGAGTGTGTCTACGGGTGTTTTTCACTGTGTGGTCACTGCTCCGTGTGTGTTTGCGTGCGCTGCGGGTGGTGCGGTTTTGTAGTTTACTGAAGTCGTGCTGGGACACCCGAGTGGATTCGTGTATAGGGCGCTTTGGATTGTGGGGCACGCGGTCATTTTTTGATGGGGTTAGAGTCTTAAGAGCACGTCTAATAGCCCGGAAAATACGCATTGGCGCCCCTTTGTGCTTCCCATTGTGTATATTTTTATATTTATGTATGTTTTGTGGCATGGCTGGTTTGGGGGACTAATAAAGGCAGATCTTTTGCCTTGGCTGCTTGTGTTTGACCCGCTGGGACCGGCTCTCCTATTTTCGCCTTTTGTTTGGTGAGGTTAGTTTGGGGACGTCTTTTTTCCTTTAAGTTAGTGATGTCGGTACCTCCTTCTACGGCCCTGTACGGGGTTGGTCCGGTGCCGCATCATTTTGTTCCGTTTGTCCAGCTCACTAGGTCCACCTTTCAGCTGTTACTTTGTTTTTGGGCACGGGAGGGGTTTTAACATTTTTAAAGTAAATTAAAATTAACTTAAAAATAAAAACAACTTTTACTTTTTTAACCTTTTCACCTCCCATGCGCTCTTTAATATGTTTGATCCACCCGGGTCAAACATTTTACTTATCAAAACTGTGTAAATGTCAAAAGTGTTGCATAAAAGAGTTTCCTTCCTCTAAACAAGCAACAAAACTGTAGCTGTAACAAAAAAATTAAGTAAAATATGGCAAAAAAAAAACCAAACTCTTGGCGATCTATCGATACAGCAGCCCACGATATTAATACTTTATCATCACATTAAATGATACAAAATACTGGTATTCACATATTTTTGCACAGTTCTACCTGAAACAGCTTTGTGATACATGCAAAATTTGGAGAACTTTCCCCATTTAAAAGTTATATTTATTTAGTTAAATGTCTTAAAGTTTGTACATCATTCTGAAACCCATAGATAACAAATACTTTACACATTTATCTTTGTTTTAAAGGATAAAATGCGCAGCTAAAGTTGAATTTAACATGCTCCATTACCTCCTTCAGCTTGTCTGTCAGGACTTTGATCTCCTCCTCGTATTTGTCCTCCTTCTGTGAGTACTGTGGGACGAATAACGGACAAAGAAACCGTCAGATGTGAAAGCCCGGCGTTCAAGAGCGGAATAATGAGCAGCGGAAGCTCCCGTGAAACCACCACCACCACCACCACCAGCTCCGGCCGCATGCACAAACACCGAGGAAACACCTACCTTCTCAGCCTGGGCCTCCAGTGACTTCAGATTGTTCGTCACAGTTTTCAACTCTTCCTCAAGTTCAGCGCATTTACTGGAGTTTGAGGAAATTAGGAAAGAGGGAAAAGAGGTAGAAAAATAACAAAGGAGGACAAAAATTACCCAGAGTATCAGAAAACCCAGTAGAGCTGAGACAGAGACAAACTGGACATCGTTGGATTGACACTATTGATACTTTGCAGCTGAAATCATCAACAATTTCTGGAGGTGTGACGCAAACTGGACGCTCCGCTCTGTCTGAAGCTCTATTTTTCACGTTTGGCTTTAATCTGAGCTTCGTTTTAACACAATCTGACCAGAAAGAGCTGACAACAGGACCATGAACACTCGTAATGATCACAGGCTCCTGAAAATGTTTTGTGTTTTGTCTAGACCTTTTTTTTTTCCTTTTTCACAATGGCCGGAAGTGCCACGATGTAGGGTAAACTTCGCTTACGTTAATGCTTTTCTGTGGCAAAATATCTGTGGAAATGTCTCGAGTATTTTCCTGCAGCTTCATAAATCTGCCCCAGCAACAAATCTTCAACCAACAAGGTCGAAAAAGGATAAACATGAAGAATTTATCCACAACTATCAAGGTAAGAAAGACAAAAGACAACGCTTAAGTGAACTACTCCTGCAAAACTAAAGTTATGGTCATGAATAAAACATAATTTGTTCACTCTGATTGATTCTACAATTAAAATTAAATATATCGATTTCATGATGTCGATATTAGCGTAGATGGAGAGATTTGTGCAGTTTAAATAGCGTTCGAACTGCAAAAATCTGTCTATCTTTGCCAATATCAACATCGTGAAATTGATTTTTAATTTTAATTGTCGAATCAGTCTGAGTGAACAAGTTACTTATTAATGAATTAGTCATTACTTATGTTTTATTCATGATCGTAATGTTAGTTTTGTTCAGTGTGTCACGAATGCGTCGTCGTTGTTCGCCTTTAAGTTTTCGTCTTTCTTCCCTTGATAGTTGTGGATAAATTCTTCATGTTTATCCTTTGTGGACCTTGTTGGTTGAAGATTTGGTGATGGGGCAGATTTATGAAGCTGCTGGAGAAAACGACACACATTTACACACACATTTTGCCACAGAAAACCATTAACGTAAGTGATGTTTACCCTACATCGCGTCACTTCCAGCCATTGTGAAAAAGGTCGATGTGAAAACTTTTTGGCAGCGTTTGCTTTTGTGTGCATTGTGTCTCCACGGCAACTTCTGCACATTCCATCGTAGACATACACGTAGAACACCCCCAGCGTGACGTCGCTGCAAAGTATCATTAATGCTTTGATTCTGAAGGAGGAGGCTGCAGTTATGCTCAAGTCAAAATGACGGAGGACAGGGATTTTTATTACGCTCTTACTATTAGTGAGATCACGATACTAAAATCTCAAACTCAATTTCGATACTGAAGAAAAGACTGATTTTCGATGCCGATTGTGATACCTACACAGCAAAAACTGCAGGGTTAAAATTTCAGGGTAAAACGTTTCAGAGTTGTTTTTAAAATAAGTTAAAATAAGAGTAAGTATAAGCTGAAACATGTCGGGACTTTGTAAATTGTCCATTAAGTAAATTAATTAACAAAAAGGCATTTTATTTTAACCAGTTCGGTTTTTTGCATCTTTAAATTGACTTCCCTTCTCCAAACAGCACCACTATGTTCTTCTATCTACTGTGTATTATCCTCTGGAGGTCCAGGAAGCGCTCCTTTTGAATCCTTTTTTTCTATATTGTTTTAACTATTTGGAAGATAAATCAAGGTTCGAGTTGGGGTTATTTACCTGAGTTGATAAGGTTGAAGTTAATGTTAGTGCTAGTGTTAATTCAACTTCCATTAGTGTTAATTTGGCTCCTCCCATCCACTACTTCAAACTCCCGTGACAGAAGACCAGTTTGAACCAGTTTTGCTCATAATTTCATTTTAAATTCACTAAAATAAAGTGTAAAAATAAAACATCTCTGCTAAATCAGGATAACTCTACAAAGTGTTATCCTTTTACTCTTAAAACGTTGATATAACTCTTGATTTCAGGTTAAACAGGAACTTTGGTCCAGTGTTACTTAATTAACATTTCCACAAATCTTAACTTAACTAAAAATAGAACAGACTGAACTCATATAAACCCTGAGAAAATGTTAAACTTGATTCTGTGAGAGTCAATTTTAACACTCCACTTTTGCTGTGTAGTTTAGATACTAGTTTTAGATTTTCTTTCGTTCTATGGATTATATTTAGGAGATATCCAAATCAAAAATGTTAAACTGAGCTTGGATATTATTAGAATATTGTTTGTTAATGGATCAGCAAAGCACTATATGTAAAATGCTTTGAGTAAACGACTTTTCTACAAGTACAACTATTAATTCCCAATTCTTGCTTGTCCACATCTTAATTTGACATCACATATGCACAACCTTATCCTCAGAAACGTCCCTTAAATCCCTTAAATAACTATATGCAAGATTATACACAACAGGTAAGAAACAAGTGTTAAAATCAGCATTTGGGGAGAAAAAAAAAACAAATTAAAGCACTAAATGGCAAATCTGGAGAAGCTGGATGATTGAATACACTGTACATTCCATAAGAAGGATGTAAAATAAGCAGAGCCAAGCAGTAGCAGGAGCAGGGTCAGTAGTGGAGGTTCGTGTACTCGTGCTCGTGTACCTGCAGTCCCGAGCTATTTAGTGATTTAATGCTTTGCTCCAAGGCTCTGAGCTCCTCTTCCAGCCTCCGGCATCTTCTGTTAGTAGGGTGTGGCGTACGAGCGCAAGCCAACATCATACAAACCGTGAAGAGCATGCAAATAACCAGCACAGAAGGAAAATCACAAGATGCCGTTCAATGGAATAAAATGAGCGAGTCTGTGTGTGTGTGAGCTCGAGTGACAGGAGGCAAGCTGTGTGCAAAGTAAACACTGCCCAGCTTTTCATATTGGCACAACTGAGAAGCAAAAAATATATATATAAATTAATAAAAACATACAATAAAAAATAAAAATAAAAATAAATAATAATAAGTTAATAAATTGATTAAATACATTTTAGATTAAACTATAAAAAATAAAATAAAATAAAAAATACAATAATATTAAATAATAAAATAAATTGACAAAAAATACTAAATTGAGTAAATGACTTTTATATTAAACTACAAAAAATAAAATAAAATAAAAATAAATAAACAAAAAAATACTAAACTGATATAATACATTTTATATTAAACTATAAAAAATAAAATGAAATAAAAATAAAATAAATAAACAAAAAAAATTAACTGTTGCTAAAATTTATTTAGTAAATGTAAGATTAGGGTTAAGGTTAGACAATCAGTTTGCCACACATTGGCAACTCAACAGTGACCACCACTTGATTCCACAAGTAAATTTCCCATTAATTTCTCCCAAAATTTAAAAAATAAAATAAAAACATCATTAAACCTTTGAAAACCTTCTTACAGATAATCAGCTATTTAGTAACTACAGACCTTAAGACCTCGATACCTAAACAAAAATGTTAAAAACTGACCAAGTTTTAGAAGATTTCACAAAATTGTTCGTGATAGTCTGTTTTGGATTGAAAACAACCACATTAGGGACATTATGTTTCTATTTAAAACTCTTAATATTTTGAAACGTTGATGGGAAATAATCAGTGTAAGTTGAGATAACGCCAGTAGGTGACCCAGATTTTTTTCCTAACCCTAACGTTTACTATAATCGGTTTCCCTAACTTAAAAAAATACCTGTTCCTTTTTTTTTTTTTTTATAAAATTGTATTATTATTATTCATTTATTGTTTATGTATTTTATTATTACTATTTTATTATTAATATTTTTTTTATTTTAAATACTTCACATTTTTTAAAGGTTTATGGGAAAATTTATATTTATTTTATTATTCTTTTATTTTTTTTTTTTTTAAATTCACATTTTGGAAAAGTTTATGGGAAAAATTAATGGGAAATTTACATTTGGAACCACGGCGGGCTTTGAGGTGTGACTGCTGAGCTCCACTGGCGTACACAGGAGACAGACAGTTTCTTATCAACAGTCTGGAGGATGTTTTATGCCCCAAAAAAACATCCCATGAATCACTGCAGGATCACGCTGGTGCCATGATCCTCAGCCCTAACTCTCAAAACAAAACCATACACTTAAGGCGAGCCAGCGTTAGAGCAGGGCATCGTAAACCACAACAGCGTGTCTGTAAACGTGAATGCAACAGAAGTGAGCGTGACATTTTGAGTGTTACCCTTCTGAGAGCTCGGCGCGCTCCTCTGTGCGCTCCAGGTCGCCCTCAATGATGACCAGCTTACGGGCAACCTGCAGCCCAAAACAGAAGACCAGTTAGAAGATTTTACTAACACGGGGTCTTTCCTCATGTGTGAGAATATGAGGAAAAAGGGGGAGGGGGTGTTGAGAAACTGGCCTCCTCGTATTTGCGGTCAGCCTCCTCAGCGATGTGTTTGGCCTCTTTGAGCTGGATCTCCTGGATCTCCATCTTCTCCTCATCCTTCATGGCCCTGTTCTCAATGACCTTCATGCCTCTGTGGGGGAGAACGCAAAGTAAACGGGCGGTCAGAACACAATCAAGTACATACGAGAGGTTAGACTACTCGTTTTACTAAGACACAGTTTTCAGTTTGTATGAAAGCACAGAAAGATTGGGAGTTTCAGGGATCTTAATTCCAAAGTCCAGAACCATGAAGATGACCACGCTTAGTGTGATAGAGTAAAAAGCAGTCAAAAAATCAGAGGCACTCTGTTGGAATTATAGTAAAAGTCCTTTAATAATACAGTGTGTCCCATGTAATTATTAAAGGACTTTTATTATAATTCAATAACAGAGTGCCTTGAATGTTTTTGACATTTTTGTTACTTCTTTATACTACCGCTTGGTCATCTTCACTGTTTTTTTTTACAATTTTCAATATATTGAAGATATTGCTAAAAAATTTTATGCCACTTTGGCCATTTTTTGGTTGCAGATTTTACTTCCTGCAAGCAAACCAGCACCTAGCAACTACACTGTAAACCTGAACGTTCAGTGTAATTAAATAGACTGTGTATACTCAAAGTTTTAGAAAAAGTATAACTTAACTATGTCATGTTGTTATAGCATGTTCTTCTTTCTGAGTAATTTTAACCAATATTTTTTGATTAAAGGCTTATCAAAGGGTACAAGTAACAAGCCATCCAACGTTTTAAGTTCTGGAAGACTGTGACTTTTAACTTCATCATCTTAAAATAATTGAGGCAGTCGACTGCCAAATGTTTTTTGAGTTCTGGTAACTTATTCAGGTTTAGAGTGTACATAGTGAGCCAGAACTCTTCTAATGTGCACAGAAATTATGATTTGATAAATAAAAATATAAAAAACACCTTTATTTTGGTAAAATAATCAGAAAAACATGTTTCTTGTATAAATTGTGCTAAACTTTTGGACCTTATACAACGTCATCAATGCGGATCTCTCTACTTTGCTTCACAAATTGCTTCTTGATTGGTATAAAACTATCATTTATACATTTATACTTTAGACAGAGAGGCTCCAGGAATATTGTTTGACTGTAGGTTCATTGTTCAAAGAGTAAATAATTCACTTAAACTACATTTGTTTGACCTGGACGTTTGTCTCGCTGTGTAAAGTAAAGTCTCACTGTGATGTTTCCTTAGTTTGTTTGATTTGTTCAAGTTTTCCACTGAGAAACCGACACTAGAATAATGACATCAGAGAATTTGCCTAAGAAACTAGACGCAATGAACCCCGTGAGCCTGAGATGTTTTTGTTTGGGATGCGCTGAGTCAGCTTTTTTAGTTTCAATATTGATCCTCTGACTGTAAGTATCCGCCAGTGTGGATAGGATTTTGACCCCGCGGTGAAGTGACCCCGGGGTCAAAATCCTATTATGGAATATTGACCCCCCTATGAAAATCTATATTTTATTAATAAAGAACTTGAATTCTATAGAAAAACTTTGAATATTAATACTATGCAAACTAAAACATACTGACATATTTAAAAGTGTTTTTTGAAGAACTCAGATGCATTTTTTTATGTCGATTATAACTTCTGAATGTTAAAAATGACTTTGATGTTTAAACACATATTTGACTGAAAATGAGATAAGTAGTTATTAATTAGTTACCGTATTTTCCGGGCTATTAGGCGCTCTGGATTATAAGACGCACTGTCATTAAAGGGTCTATTTTCGAACTTTTTTTTACAAATAAACCGCACAGGACTTTAAAGGAAACACAACAGTTGGATGGGTCAGTGGTTTTGTTTGTTTGTGGCGTTCACGGTGACTCTGGGCTTTGTTCAGTTGTGGCGTGTAGGGACGGTGCTGTCTGGAACCGCTGGAATGTCGGCGTGTGACTCAGTTGTTCAGTTTTGTCTAGAAGTGGCACATTGCGCTCGCTTTTTCGGTTCGTTCCTCTGTTCCGTTCCTCGTCGGCGTGGAGTGATGAGTGTGTCTGCGGGTGTTTTTCGCTGTGCGGTCGCTGTCTGCTCCGTGTGCGTTTGTGGCTTTGTAGTTTACTGAAGTCGTGCTGGGACACCTGAGTGGATTCGTGTATGGGGAGCTCTGGATTGTGTGGGGCGGTCGTTTTTTGATGCGGTTAGAGGCTTAAGAGCGCGTCTACAAGCCCGGAACATACGGTAGGTAATCAAAGTGATGTGTAATGATTTGGACTCAAAATAGACAATTGCTTAAATTGACATTATGATTAAGGATTATCTGAACATATCAAACTAAAAACCATAACAACATAAAGAACAATATAAAAAGTGACCAGATTGCTGTGCATATGCAATTTTAACAATATGTTACATAAAAGTAAATTACATGAGAAATAATGATCAGATAAGTAACTACTAAAGAAAAAAGTAAAGGGAGTCAAAATACTATGGGGGTCAAAATTCTCTCTCACACCAGTACTCGATATTATCCGATACCAGTGTAGAGATGGAAAATTGCACTTTTTTCCTTAAAGTTGCACTGTGTAACTTCTCTGCCACCTGCTTGTCTCCATGGAAACGATATTGGTTTGTCTGTAATGTCCCAGTATGGCATTAATTAACTTGAATTTACTCAATAACATGGGTTTTTATTGACCTAAAAACTCGCATTCTTACTCGTAACTTGCCGCATCTGCTGTCTCCATAGAGATAAATAAGTAATGCCATACTGCGGAACATTTCAGGCACCTTTAAAACACAGCTTATTACACAAGAGCTCCAACTGTGTTACGTAACTGTTATTTACTTCACTTCAACAGCTTTGTATGAATAAAGTTCAAACATTATGAGACGTTCAAGGCCAAAATCATCCTGGAAATCGTCTTTTTACATCTAATTTAAGCTCCAACCAGGATTAGGGACGCACCGATCCAATACTGGTATCGAATATCGGTGCCAATACTGAAAATCGGCTTCGAAACCTCCTGGTTGGGCATAAACGGATGTAATAAATCTATTTTCTGTTCGCAGTTGCCACAGGAAGTCTCCTCACGTTTGAAGTTTCACTCACGCAAAGTTGTTTCTGTTGTTTGTTACCGCAGATATAAATATCAGCTCGATAACACATTTGAAACGGTTTTTGTCTTGTTTTATTTTAGTTCTAAGGAAATAAATGCTGTTTTCAGTTTCTGCTCCGGTATCGGTTGATATTGGATTGGCAAATACATGAAGTCGTAATATTGGAATCGGTATCGAAACTGAAAAAGCTGGATCGCTGAATTACCTAACCAGGAGATCTACCATTATTTTTTTCAGTATTGGCACCGATATTCGATACCAGAATTGTGATCGGTGCATCCCAAGTTTTTCCCTGAATCATCCTCACGTCCCTTTAAAGGTGCATTGTGTAACTTTTCTGGTGGAGAGTCCGTCAAATGCTTTTCTCTGTGGTGATGTTCTGGAAAATTTCACAGTATTGTATTAAAACTTTATATCTTCATGGAGACCAAACCGGACCAAGTTACAGCTCAGATCTGTAGAGTGATTTTCGAACTAAGACCACATCAAAATTACGATTAAATTGGGACCGATTTCCGAACTAAAACCACATTAAAACTTGGATTAAATTGGGACTGATTTTGGGATTAAGACCCCATTAAAACTGAGACTGATTTTGGAACTAAAACCAAACCAAATTGGGACTAAATTGGGACTGATTTCAGAACTAAAACCACATCAAAATTGAGACCAATTTCAGAGCTAAAACTAAATAAAAATTGAGACTATAGGGACTGACTTTGGAACTAAAACCAAATCAAAATTGGAACTAGAATGGGACTGATTTCATAACTAAGACCCCATTAAAATTGGGATTAAATTGAGACCGATTTCGGAACTGAAACCACATCAAAACTGAGATTGATTTTGGAATAAAACCAAATCAAACTTGGGACTAGATTGGGATAGATTTCGGGACTAAAACCACATTGAAACTGGGACTGATTTCAGAACTAAGACCAAATCAAAATTGGGACTAGATTGGGACTGATTTTGGAACTAAAACCAAATCAAAACTAGGACTAGATTGGGACTGATTTGGAAACAAACCAAATCAAAATTGGGGTTAAATTGGGACTGATTTTGGAACTAAAACCACACTGAAACTCAAATTAAACCGGCAGGCCCTCTCACCGTCACAATGTTGTTTTTGAGGGATTTTTGAGCTCTAAAACCACCTGTAATTTAATAAACGTAAAGTAAAGCTGTTTAAGGTCATGTCCATAGAAACAAGCAGGTGACGGACCAAACCAAAACGTGACATAGTGCGGCTTTAACTCGCAAACGGAGCTCTAACGCAAAAAAGGCGACGCTTGTTTCTCTCACAAAGCGTCTCCACACAGCGCTCCATTGATCCTCTGAGCTCTGGAGCCCGGGGGACACAAAGAAACCACTATGGACCCACCTCTCGCTCTCATCTGCAGCCTTCTCTGCCTCCTCCAGCTTGGTCAGAGCAGTGGCAAGACGCTCCTGTGCACGATCCAACTCCTCCTCAACCAGCTGGATACGTCTGTTCAGGGAGGCCACATCACCCTCAGCCTGCGGGAGACCGACAATTAAGATGTGTTCACAAGTCAAAACTGGGGTTAGATTGGGACTGATTTCGGGACTAAGATCACATTAAAATTGGGACTGATTTGGAACTAAGATCACGTCAAAATAGGGATTGATTTTGCACCTAAAATCACGTGAAAATAGGGACCGATTTTGAATCTACAACCAAATCAAAATTGGGACTAGATTGGGACTGATTTCGGAACTAAAACCACATCAAAACTGGGATTAAATTGGGACTGATTTCAGCACTAAAACAACATCAAAATTGGGACTAGATTGGGACTGATTTCAGAACTAAAACCACATCCAAACTGGGACTAAATTGGGACTGATTTCAGACTAAGACCACCACAAAATTAGGACTAAACTGGGACTGATTTCACAACTAAAACCACAAAAAAAATTAGGACTAGATTGGGACTGATTTCAGAACTAAAACCAAATCATAAATAACACTAAATTGGGACTGATTTTGGAACTAAAACCACATCAATATTAGGACAAGATTAGGACTGATTTTGGACTAAGATCACATCAAAATTAGGACTAGATTGGGACTGATTTCGGACTAAGATCACATCAAAATTGGGACTAAATTAGGACTGATTTTGGAGCTAAAACCAAATCAAACTTGGTACTAGATTGGGATTAATTTCGGAACTAAAACCACATCAAAATTAGGACAAGATTAGGACTGATTTCGAACTAAGATCACATCAAAATTGATTCTATATTGGGACCGATTTCTGAACTAAAACTACATCAAAATTGGGACTAAATTGCGTCTGATTTCATTTGTTTTTGACACGAATGAAGGTCTTTCCCTCTCTGATTGGTTAATCTGCCTGTCAGTCAAGCAATCTAAACTCAGGGAGACAGGACACAGCTCCAGATCCACTCGTCTTTGTAAAGTTTTGCCAAAGAATGTGGTTCTGGCTGGACAGGTAAGACTAAACGAAGACTAGGACAGGACTAAACCAGGTCTGCCATCTGGACTGACCTGGACTCAAACCAGGAACTAAAAAGGGCAACTTAGGCGACTCAGGGCCTATTAGGTTCAAATAGGGAGATGGGGCTGGTAAAATATGTAACTGAATAAATCTAAATGAAAAAAATAAAATAATAATAATAATAATTTAAAAAAAAATTAAATAAAATGAATAAAAAAAAATAAAAAAATATATAAAATTAAATAAATAAATAAAATCAATTTAATAAAAATATTGCAATTTTGTGGATTTTACTTTTGCTTTTGGACATTAAAAAATCCATATCTGAATTATGAGGGCGGGAGGATTAAGTTAGGTTACGGTTCAGGTATGAAAAACAATGCATATCTGAGTCATATCATTTATAAACAAATAAAAATGAGTACGCATTGGGAGGGAGGTGTACATTTACGCCCACACCATATGCAAATCTAACTGTATGACTGGCTGTTTTCTAACTCAGCTCAACTGTGACTATGGAGCAATGGCAGAAATTTGTTGTGGATTAATATTATCGTCTGTATTTACTTCACCAACATACTACACTTCACTTGTGTTATCGTAATAACAGAAGTCAGTCGTGTTTTCTGTGTAAGTGCAGCTGATGAAAGCCCTTTCAAACAGAGCAGCCTGTTAAAGTGTGAACACTGGACCAAAGGGCAACTCACTGATATCTGTCAAGAGGGGTGACTGCTCCGCTCTGTGAATGATTATAAGATGTTAGAGGGAGGGAGGGTGTGTTCCAAAGCCAGATTTATTTGTCTTCCTCCTGGCATATCTGCAGAGGAGAATCTCTCATTGCTTGTCCTTATAAGGGCAAGAGAGCACACACACTGCTCATTGTGGCACCTCAGATATTTAGAAATGACTTCCTGCTTTCACCCTATGCACACGCTACGTCCTCCAAGAGCTAAAAGGCGAAAGCAGGTGAATCTGACCATTAAAGAGTTAAACATTCCTACACAGACTTGGCGGGGGTTACGCACAGAATGGAAACAAACTGGGATTTGACATCAGGAGCCTGATGCTGCCAATTAAAAGCTCTGAAGGAAAACAGAGTGAAAAGTGAACTTTATAAAGCAGGCGCTGTGTGCGGCCAGGAGAGGATCAGAATCTGGCCAAGGTCAGATTAAAGCAACAACAACATTCAGACACAAGAGTGGAGATGGTCACAAAGAGGATGTGGCTCACTGGGTGTAAGAGCCCACTGGACATGCTTACTTGATCTTTTAATTTTCTCTCCACGTCCAGTTCCTTCTTTATTCGCTCGGCTTTCTCCTCTGCGCTGTCTGCTTGATCTTGAAGCAATCTAATTTTTCGTTTCACTGCATCCAGCTGCGTTGCTCCGGCCATTGTCTACTTTTACGCGCCGATAAAAGGCCTATTAAAACCTAAACACAACCAGCGACTCCAGCTCAGTTTTTGTAGAAAATGTCAAGGCGCAAGATGACGTCCGTGTAGTGTGAGCTGAATGCTGCAGGAGGCGAGCAGCAGCACAGAACGCGGCGCACATTGCATTTCATCCAGGAAGTAGCACCAAAACCGACCGCAAACCGGTTCCGCGCGCCATGGCGCAATGGCACATGCGCCGTGGACTTAGCTTTTTCTGAATTAATATGAGGGAAAATAAAATGTTGAATTTAATTAATTATTACATTTATTTGAGGAAACACACCCAGTCAGTAATGAACATCCAGAGGGGCGTCTGGGGAGAGAAGCAGCGCGATGGGGCCCTCTGCTGTTCGGATGTGGGAACTACAACATTTTCAAACAAATGGATTTAATTGTATTTTCTATGAATCTAAGAACATCTGAGCAATGCAATTTTTACCTGTACTGGCGTTATGTAATCAGAGTACAAATTATGAGTAACTGTATTCAGTTACAGTTACTGTTTCAGTGAGTGGTAAATAGATTACAGTTACTTTGTTGAAATAAATGGATTACACGGCAGTATTTTCCTGTTTTCACGATTTTGGGCTATATCACCCCTTTTTTTTTTTTTTTTTTTTCAGTAATTCCACTCATTGCCGGACACTAAATCAGGTCTAAAACAAGGTCCAAACCAGGTCTAAAACCAGGTCTAAAACCAGGTCTAAACCAGATCTAAAACCAGGTCTAAACTAGGACTAAGAGCCAGGACTAAAATCAGGTCTAAACCAGGTCTACAACTAGGTCTAAACTAGGACTAAGTCAGGTCTAAACCAGATCTAAACCAGGACTAAACCAAGACTAAACCACGTCTAAACTAGAACTAAACCAGGACTAAACCGATACTAAACCAAGACTAAACCAGGACTAAAACCAGGTCTAAACTAGGTGTCAAACAGGATTTAACAGGACTAAATCATGCTGTGCGGAACCGTGTCTCCTCCTTTTCTATCAATACTATTTTTTATTTGGTTCAGTAAAGTCTGAGGCTTTTTATTTTCTTTTAACAGACAAAACATCTTATGTTATGATTTCCTCGTCTTTGCTTCTCTACAGCAAATCAAGTAATCCAAAGTATTCAGATTACGTTACTCACTTTAAGTATTTTAATGGACTGTGTTACAAACTACATTTTGAGGTATGTAATCTGTAATCTGTAGGGGAATACATTTTAAAAGTCACCTTCCCAATACTTCTACTGCTACTACTAGGCCTATTACAAAGGCCTACAAACCTACTACTAAATTAAAGAAAATGTTATGATTATTATGATGATTATGGTGACTTTTGTTATTATTATTATTAGTAGTAGTAGTAGTAAAAGTAGTAGTAGAAATAGTAGTAGTGGTAGTAGTAATAGTCCATTAGTCTTATAGGCTCATTTGGACTCGTGACCTTGACCATCACTTTCTCTCTTTCAACAGCGCGGTCAGCTTTGAGAACTTTAAATACCTCGCGTCTAAATTCTTCACATAGTTCATATATTATTATTGTGGCCGTTCGCTGAGATTCCTTTTCCCTTTCCCTTTTCTTTCTTTCCCTTTTTTTTTCTTGTGGTATACGGAGTCCGCGGGCTGCAGATGTGAGCCCGTCTTGACCATATAAAGCAGTGGTCTATATTTATCCAGTCTGTGCCTTGGCGTGCGCGTCTGAGGCCGTGCGTATACTCCTCCTCACTCTTGCAATTACAGCCTGGGATGATCGGAACCGTGGAATCCTTGGGCCAATACTGGGTCAGACATACTTTATCTGTTACTAGATTCTAGTTCCTTTCATTCCTGCAGCTCGGACCGAGTTCAGTGTGCCAAAATGTAATGGAAATGTCATCACAGGACACTATAGAGCTGTAATATTTGATACAGATGAGCGCAGGTCAAGTTAATAGTGTTAAAATGCAATGTTTCTTTTGTAATTCAGTGAGTTCTTGAGTCTTGTCTCTAAAATAAAGGATCTGGCTCAACTTTTGTGGCTTTACTTTTTGGAGATTTGACGTCAAAGCAGGAAAAATGGGCTCTTGTTTGGTGTTCTAATCTGAAAATTACTCACAGACTACAAATTTCTTTTAGCCTGCAGCCTGGTTTAATAACTTGTGCTCATTTTTATACCCGTGTGCCGTTCAGAAGTGGAAAGGAAAGATGTGTGGGGAAGCGCGTGTACTGCAGAACCCCCTCTTAGACTTTTAGACATACTCACGTCTGTGGCTTTCTTCTCCGCCAGCTCAAGTTTCTCCTGGGCGTCCTTAAGCGCCTCGGAGTACTTGTCCAGCTCATCCTCTGTTCCCTTGAGCTTCTTCTGCAGAGCTACCAGATCGTCCTCCAGCTACAGCGTGCGTAAAGGTGAGCGGGGCAGCGAGGGGGGAAAGGTGCAGCAGGTGCGCAGGTGGATGGACAGGGCGCAGCAGAAGTGGACAGGAAAGCGCACGACAGAGGAAAGAAAAGAGAGAGACAGATTAGTTCATGCACGTGTTGTGAAGAGATACCTTGGTGGCAACTTCTTCCGCGGCCAGCAGCCTCTCCTCCGCCGACTGGAACTCCTCAAAAACTTTGTCCCGCTCGTCTTCAGTTACGCGTAATTTCTTTTCCATCTCTCTGATCTCATCCTCTAACTACACATGCAATTAAAACACCAATATCATCTAGTTATTACACACACTGGACATGATTCAAAACATTAATCCACGAATCTGCAAAGAAAACATGAGCTAAACATGTATTAAATGAAAAAAAACTTTAATAATCCCGGATTTATTAGACAAAAACACAAAGTAATTTCAAGTAATCCAACAGTAGCGCGTCCAAATTAGAAGGTATCTCCAAGAGGCCGACCTGTTTGCTCCTGTCCTCCGCTGCTTTCTTGTCTGACTCGGCCTGCTCAGCTCTGTCCAAGGCGTTCTCCTTGTCGAGCTTGAGCATCTGCATCTTCTTCTTGATGGCGTCCATGGCTGCTTATTTGGAGGGCACCAAAAAACAGTAAGAAGACAAGGCGAAGTTAGGGGAGGTGGGCCGGGGTGCCGTGCTGAGCTGAACGCAAAGCTGGAGTGCGGGCTCTGCTGCGCTGCGCTCTGTCAAATATGAACTTTGGGAAAAGGGGGGCTATCGGATTCCTTTGGACATGCAAGACTTTTTTGGGAGTAGGCGTGCGTCCCTGCTCCGGAGTCTGGCACGCCTTTATATGGGACAGGATGGGGGCATTTAAAGGGTCTATATGACACGAAATGGCGTCTTGGTGAGCTTTAAGTCACGTTAGGATGTTGTTACCTCCTCAAAAAACAGACCTGGAGTTGCGTTTTGTTTCGTTCACGCACGTTCGAGTCACTCTTTCTTGTTAGTCTGTCTGTCTCCATGTCCAAAGTTTCATCCCGTGGTGTCGTGTAGGTAGTTATCAAGTTAACAGCTCCTTTTACTTCTAGTTCGGGAGAGATTGACAGTTTCTTGGCTCAAAATCATCCAAATGATTCCAAGAGCGAAGAGAACAGTTTTACCACATGACATTAAAAGTTGGAACAGAGTTTGATCAGAAAATAGCGTGATATTGGCCCCTTTAATACAGAAAGAATCTCACTTTATTGGAACTTATTTTGGATTTTACGCACGGATGAACCGGTTGGAAAAACTCGGGTACTCGTGTTGTCAGTCTTCGTGTGTGTGTGTGTGTGTGTTTTGCGCGCGTGAGTCGTGGCTGGTGCGCGTTGCGTCCTCAGGAATGACAGGAGCGCACGCTTTTAGTAGATAGAGGATCTCATATCCTTCCTGTAAACTGTTTATGTGGCATTTAACCGTGACGGGGGCGCGGACAGGGGCCGTCTCAGCAGCTCTCATCATCATACAAGGAACATGCATGCGCCAGTGAACGTGGCTGCCAGTCTGCGCACGCGGCCTCACGCTAGGGGGATCAGATTTTTAGAATTCTAAACTGGGGCGCACTCGGGCTTGGATGGTGGATGTAAATAAAATTGTGAAAAGAGCGTTTAACATTGTCCATTCTTGACTCATTTGTGGTCAGACATAACCCCAGACACTTCCTCCAGCTCCTCCGGGTGAATCCCAAGGCGTTCCCAGGCCAGCCCAGAGACATAGTCCCTCCAGCGTGTCCAGGGTCTTCCTCGGGGCCTCCTCCCGATGGCACATGCCCAGAACATCTCTTCAGGGAGTCGTCCAGGAGGCATCCAAAACAGATGCCCGAACCACCTCAGCTGCTCCTCTCGATGTGGAGGAGCAGCAGCTCTACTCCAAGCTCCTCCCGTGTGACTGAGCTCCTCCTCTTAGTTTCCTCACTCTCTCTAAGGGAGCACCCAGACACCCTGCATAGGAAACTCATTTCAGCCGCTTGTATTCATGATCTTGTCCTTTCGGTCATTACTAGTGATGTAACAATAACCAAAATATCGTGATATCGTATTGTCAAAGTTCTCACAATAATATCATGGACCATCATAATATATCGAATCACAAGTTTCTTTGCTTAAATTAAGAGTTAGGATGCAGCAATAGACAAAAAAAAAAAAAAAAAAAAAAAAAAACAGAGGGAACCTCTTTGATCCTTTGCTTTGGTTTTAGACCTGGTTTTAGTCCTAGTTTAGTCCTGATTTAGACCTGGTTTAGTCCTGATTTATTCCTGGTTTAGACCTGGTTTTAGTCCTAGTTTAGTCCTGATTTAGACCTGGTTTAGTCCTGATTTATTCCTGGTTTAGTCCTGGTTTGGTCCTGGTTTAGACCTGGTTTAGTCCTGATTTATTCCTTGTTTAGTCCTGATTTATTTCTGGTTTAGACCTGGTTTTAGTCCTAGTTTAGTCCTGATTTAGACCTGGTTTAGTCCTGATTTATTCCTGGTTTAGTCCTGGTTTGGTCCTGGTTTAGACCTGGTTTAGTCCTGATTTATTCCTTGTTTAGTCCTGATTTATTTCTGGTTTAGACCTGGTTTTAGTCCTAGTTTAGTCCTGATTTAGATCTGGTTTAGTCCTGATTTATTCCTGGTTTAAACCTGGTTTTAGTCCTAGTTTAGTCCTGATTTAGACCTGGTTTAGTCCTGATTTATTCCTGGTTTAGTCCTGGTTTGGTCCTGGTTTAGACCTGGTTTAGTCCTGGTTTAGTCCTGGTTTAGATTTGGTTTAGACCTGGTTTAGACATGGTTTTAGTCCTGGCTTAGTTCTGGTTAATCCTTGTTTTAGTCCTGGTTTAGCCCAAAATGTGAAAACAGGAACATACTGCCCTGTAATCCATTTATTTCAATAAAGTAACTGTAATCCAATTACCACTCACTGAAACAGAAACTGTAACTGAATACAGTTACTCATAATTTGTACTCTGATTACATAACACTGGTACATGTAATTTGTTACTCCCCAACACTGTTCATGAGGCTAACATAATGAAAATAAATGAGATGTAAAAAATGTTACATAATGATAATAGTTATTTCAGCATGTAAATTGGACTGAAACAGAGCAAAGGATCATGGTCTATGTAGTTCTCTCTGTTATTTAGCACTATAATAATGGATTTAGGCAGAGAAACTTTGTAATTTGACATGTTGTGATGACCCACGATGTTATTAAGAGACTTTTGATGATACTACATCACGATATTTCAGTTATTGTTACATCCCTAGTGGCAGAGTTGGGAGTAACGTGTTATAAAAGTAAAGAATTGCTGTAATGTGTTGCTTTTTGCTGTAACGCAGTAATGTGGCGCTACAGGGAAAAAATTGTCATATTTTACTCGGTACAAATGTCAGTAATGTGCGTTACAATACTTTTTTAACCTGGATTGAAGTGGTGCTTTGCGGAAACCCTGTCTGCAAAGCGCTTCCAAGTTCTAGTCCAAGATTAGTCCTGGTTTGGTCCTGGTTTAGTCCTGGTTTAGACCTGGTTTAGACATGGTTTAGTCCTGATTTAGACCTGGTTCAGTCCTGGTTCAGCTCTGGTTTAGTCCTGGTTCAGTTCTTGGTTTAGACCTGGTTCAGTCCTGGTTCAGCTCTGGTTTAGTCCTGGTTCAGTTCTGGTTTAGACCTGGTTCAGTCCTGGTTCAGCTCTGGTTTAGTCCTGGTTCAGTTCTGGTTTAGACCTGGTTCAGTCCTGGTTCAGCTCTGGTTTAGTCCTGGTTCAGTTCTGGTTTAGACCTGGTTCAGTCCTGGTTCAGCTCTGGTTTAGACCTGGTTTAGTCCTCGGTTCAGTCTTGGTTTAGACCTAGTTTAGTCCTGGTTCAGTTCTGGTTCAGTCCTGGTATAGTCCTGGTTCAGTCCATATACGGCGCAAAAGTTCAGCATCTTCACTCAGTTATTTTGTTGAGAGTAACTTAAAAGTGCTGCAATAGTAATGTAATGTTTTACATTTTAAATGCAGTAATATTGTAAGGTAACAAATTATTTTGAAATAACAGTAATGAGTCATAAATAATGCATTACAGTTTTAAAGTAACTTGCCCAACAGTGCCTAGTGGTGATGATATTGAATTTATAAACACAGCTGATACTATTTCTACTATTTTTTCGAGTAATGCAAGAAAAAAAACTCCAGGATGGTGCATTATTATATGACGGTATTTGTGTAAAAGTCGATAATGTTTGTCCAGTGAGATCTCTCGACATAAACGTCACCGGTCGAGCGGCGCGATTCCGGCTATCACGGATGAATGCTGTCGTTGTGCCCTTGGGCAAGACACTTAACGCTCCTCTCCCCCAGTGTGTGCGTACACGGGAGTATGAATGTGTGAATGGGTGAGTGGTTCCTTGATGTAAAGTGCTCTGAGTGCCCTGGAGGTGGAAAAGCGCTGCATAAATATAACAGCGCAGGGTCTTCTGGAGGTTTATGTAAATGGAGAAGAGTCACATTTTTATGGTGCTTTTCCACTTCTCAAAGAGCGCTTTACATCAAGGAGCCGCTCGCCCATTCACCCACACCGTGCAGAGAACGCGGGCACAGGGGGAAAGGGGAGGTTAAGTGTATTGCCCAAGGACACAACAACAGTGTTCTATATATCTGTTATGTCCCATTAAGTCACGTATTTGCAAATAAGCTCTAATGATGCAGTGAGTGAGATTTGAAGAGATTTTTTTGTGAATAATATTTGTTAGTGTGAGGGCGGGACTTCGATTGAAATACACAATTTTTACCAAAAGTCATACACATACAGTAGTTATACCCAGTTCACCCATAGTCCATACTGTTTAAATGCAAATAGCCCAGATCAGTAATTTCTAGAATCACACTGGGTGATCTAAAAAAAATTAATCAATACAAAAAAATAAATAAAATAAAATAAATAAATAAATAAATAATAATAATAATAATAATAATAATAATATAATAATAATAATAATAATAATAATAAATTACATGAAAAAATATATACAGATAAAAATAACTGAAAAAAATAATACAGTACAATATCAAAAAAAAAAAAAAGAGAGAGAAAGAAAATGGGTTAAAATTAATAATAAATCGTTACTTAGTATGCATAGTGTGTAATGTAAATCTAAATATTGTTCATAAATGTAAAGTTTCATGACCAATGTACATAAGCAATCACATCATTTTTGAAACTATGTCATCATGAACAGGGGCGGGTGTAAGTTTTTATAAGTTTTTAAGTTCTTGAGGTTTTCTTCTTCCTACTCCTATTCGAGAAATTCACTTTTCTGTTGTTTTCAGTGTAGAGTTTATGTTGTATGTGTATGATTATTGTTTCTCTCTTGGCCCAAACTCGAAATAAAAACAAAATAAATCAGTCAAAAACACTTGAGAACAAGAATGAGTGGGTGCTTATACATGAAATTGCATGAAATTCTGAATTTTTAACACCACTGAATTTCTCGCTTAACTCTTAAACTTGAAAATATAACTGTATGTGCCAAAGATGTAAAAGGTGAATTTTTCATTTTGAATCTTTAACCACAATATGTATATACTTCATCAATGTAAATTCAGAATAAAATCGACTAAGATGTGTTTTTTCAGAAAGAAAAATCCAATCCAATTCACTTCCAATTCAGCATATTTTATAAATGTGACGGTCTCCAAAGTGCTGCACAGACAAATTAAGACA